GGGTGGGGTGAGGGCAGGGTGGTGGGCTGGGGGTCCCCGTGCTGTCAGCAGTGGGGAGCGGATCAGACCCGAGCGTCCCCTTACCAAGCTGCCTGCAGAGCCCCCGCTGTGCTGCGGGGCCCCCGGACCCCTGGGTTACCCTAAGGCTTTGGCTCCCAGAGCCCGGCGCTACTGAAACGCAGCTTTTCTCCTCCTTCCTCCCTGTGGAAGGGAGGCTCTTCCTCTCCCTCCCTCTGCTCTCTTGGACCAGGGACACCCACAGAGCGTGGGGGCCGGACCCTGGGCTGGCTCCCAGGGGGCTCAGGAGCACCCAGTCCCACGCAGCCCCGAACGGCCCCACTTTGCCCATCGGGGACATTGTGCCGCCATAATTTCCCACATCCTCCGCCTGAGCGAGCAGTGATTCCTGGCGCTGGGTTAGACCTGGCGCTGGGTCAGACACGGCCCAGTCTGTCTTGGGGACCCCCCCCAGGAGGTGGTGAGGGGCACTGACCCATGAGACCTGGCACTTACCCCCCGGGTGACACACAGCCTTTTCCTCTGCCCGAGTTTCCCCCAGCATGGTGGGGGGGGGAGCCCGGGTTGTTTCCCTCCTCCCTGTGCAGCCAGCCCCGCTCTCCCCGGGCCGGAGGAAGCAGCTGGAGCCGCCTGTGCGCCGGGAGCATCCGGCCCTTCCTCGCAGCCTCACGGGACCGAGGCCGTGCGTTTATCCCCTTCGCCGCTGGACTGAGTCACGGCAGCTGCGTCACGCAGCCCCTTTGGCCGGGAGTCTCTGAAGAAAGCAGAGGAGTTTGTCTGGCTCCGGGCAAATGGCTCTCGGCAGGCAGCTGCTCCTGGCCACTGGCCCAAAGTCCGCATGGTGGGGGGTGTGTGTGTGTGTGTGTGTGTGTGGTGGTTTTTGGGGGCATCCCCAGCAGGGTGCTGAGCTGTGGGCAAGCTGCACGAGGTGCTGGGGCAGGAGCGGGGACAGGGGTGCTCCGTGGAGGCGCGGGGAGGGTGCTGCACCCCAGGGACGTGCCCACGGTGGCCTGGCCCCTGGTTGTGCCCATGCAGCTGGGCTGCTTGCTTCCTCCATGGAGGCAAAAATCCAAAGTCCAATTAGGGGGATAATTACAGGGCAGCGTTCGTTACCTGCTGGTCTGTTATAAGCCCGCGATGCCGGAGGGGTGAGGTGTTTGTGACCCACCCGTTCCCCACGGGGACCCTGCTCCTGCTTCGTGGATAAAGCCGCTGCCTGTGGGAGCTGGGGGTGCTGAGCAGCACCTTGTTTTCCATCCAGGATGGGCCACTGGCAGCTGGATGCCATCCCAGAAGCCAGAAAAACCTTTGGCCACCCAGAATATAAATATGCCCAGCCTTGCGTGTGGCCTCCTGCCAAGCCTCGCTGTCCCCAGCTCGCCCTGGGGCCTTGGCGCTGGGCCACAGACCATGGAGGTCCGGGTTCAGAAATCCCCCCTGGAGCAGCTTCAGGGCATGATGTCCCCACGGGCTGGGTCCCTAAAGTTGCTCCCCCCTAAGCTGGCGAGCTGCCTGCACCCCATCGCATCGGGGGAAGGAAAGGCTGGGGGGGGGGCTTTGGGAAGAGCTGGCCGTCAGGCTGGCCCGTGGTGGGGAGCACCCCCAATTCTCCCCACTCTCCACTGTGACCTGGACAGAGATTTTAAGCAGCTCCAGGAGCTTCTTGTCCTCCTGAGTGCTCGAAGAACCAGCGCTAAGCGGAGCTCAGCCTCCACGGCGGCTCCTTCCCTGACACCCGCTGGGTTCGAGCCGGGGAGGTGGCTCCTCTGCTCTCCTGGGCCAGGCCGGGTCTCACTGGCCATGGCTCAGCCCAGCACTGCCTGGAGAGAGCAGCTCGCTCTGTTTTAATTGCTTATCTCTGAGTAACGAGCAGCGCTGCTGGGTGAGGTCAGCACGGCAAGGACAGCGCTGGCTGCGGCGTCGGGGGGACCGGCTGTGCGCCAGCCCCTTGAGATGCTAACAACCCCCCGAGGGACTTTTGGGCAGGAAAACAGGGGGTTTCTCCTTAAAATAAGCCCAGAACATGCTCCAGGGCAGTGGCAACCAAGGTGCTGCACGGGCCTCTGCCCGGTGGGGGCTGTGGGTGGGCTGGGAGCGCAGCGGCGGTTGATGCGGTGATGGATTTACAAAGTCCCGGGTAAAGCCCAGCCTTCGTTCAGGAGCACCGGCAGCTTTCTCGGTGCTTTGCTGTACGGCTTGGGAGGGCTTTTCCTCCTCGTGTTTGCATTCAAGGCTGCTTTGACCCAAACGAGCTGACGCGCCGTGAGCAGTTTGGATGGGGCCGTGTCTGCCCTGCCGGGCTGGGGGCTGGCTTTGCTCTCCGCTATCCCCTCCTCCAGGGCAGACCCGGTCGTATCTGTAATGGAAAAACCCCAGGCAAACACAGGAGCCTTTTAGCCTCCTGCCGCGCCTCTGCTGCCAGGCCAGATCTCCCAAGGGCACTGCGAATCGTGACAAGTCCCTGCCCGTCTCCGCTGGGGCGGCCCCACCTTCCCGGTGCCCTTGCATAAGAGGGACGAGGCGCTGCCAGTGGAACCCAATGGTGACGAGGATGGTGGTTCATCTGGCTGGGAGGTGTCGCCAAGGTTAACTCTGCCTACGCCCTGCGTCAAAACCGCTTCCGTAAAGAAAAAAGGATGGGTCGTTGTCCCAGGAGACTCCCTTCCGAGGGGAACAGAAGGCCCAATATGCCGACTGGACCCACTTCTTAGGGAATTCTCCTGCCTCCCTGGAGCCTGGGTTACAGATGTGGAGAGAAAGCTCCCTGCCCTGGTATGGCCCTCTGATTACGAGCCGATACTGGTTTTTCATGTAGGCAGTGATGAAGTTGCACCAGGATGTCCAAGAACAACCAAGAGAGACTTCAGGGCCTTGGGATGACTGGCGAAGGGATCCAGGAGTGTGAGCAGTGCTTGGTCCTTCCAGTTGCAGGGAATGATGAGGGAAGGCACGGGGACAGCCAGCAGGGCAATACCTGGCTCAGCCTGGTGTCACCGGCAGAACGTTGGGGTTTTTTGATCATGGGTCGGTCTACATGACACCAGGCCTGCTGGCGACAGACGGGGTCTCAAAGGGGGAAAAGGAGTTAGCAGGGCTCAGCGAAAGAGCTTTAAACTGGATTTGAGGTGGGGAAGGGATAAAACCAGGCTGGCTAGGGATAAGCCTGGGGGCAGCATGGCAGTGTTTGAGGGACGGTGTGCTAGCGAGGTCTTTCTCAGCGGAGGTAAGGGATGGAGATCCATGCGGCAGCAAAGATGCGAGGGTTATGGATGTGTTAGAAACCACAGGAGCACCTGAGAACAGTCACGTAGGAACTGGAGTTTCCCCCTCCAGACAGGAGGTGGGATCGAGAGCCCAGCTGAAGAGCATCAACACCAACGCACATGGCATGGGCAGCAAACAGGAGGAGCTGGAAGCCATCATGCAGCAGGAAAACGATGATATAGTTGCCATCACGGAAACATGGCGGGCTGGCTCACAGACCTGGAGCGCTGCTGGGGATGGGGATAAACTTGACAGGCAAGGACAGGCAAGAAAGGCGAGGCGGAGGGGTAGCCCTGTACGTTAGGGGGTGTTTTGGTTATCTAGAGCTTAACGACAGTGACGATTGGGTTGAGTGCTTATGGGTAAGGATTGGGGGAAGGCCAACAAGGCAGAGATCATGGTGGGAGTCTGTTATAGAGCACCCAACCAGGATGAAGAGGGAGACGAAATATTCTATAAGCAGCTGGGAGAAGTCTCATGACTCAGCCCTCGTTCTCGTGGGGGACTTCCACTTCCCAGTTGCCTGCTGGAAATAGCGCGGAGAGGAAACAGTCTGGGAGGTTCCTGGGGTGCGTGGAAGAGACCTTCCTGACACAGCTGGGGAGAGCGCCAGTGAGGGAAGGACCCCGCTGGCCCTGTTGTTTGTGAACAGAGAAGGACTGGTGGGTGACGGGATGGTTGGAGGCCGTCTTGGGCACAGCGGTCACGAAATGATGGAGCTTTCGATTCTTGGTGAAGTACGGCGGGGATCAGCAGAACGGCTCCCTTGGGCTTCCGGGGGGCAGACTTTGGCCTGTTCAGGACACTGGTTGAGAGAGTCCCTTGGGACGCTGTCCTGAAGGGCAGAGGGGTCCAGGAAGGCTGGATGTTATTCAAGAAGGAAATCTTAAAGGCGCAGGAGCAGGCTGTCCCCATGTGCCAAAAGACGAGCCGGTGGGGAAGACGCCTGGCCTGGCTGAAGAGGGAGCTTTGCCTGGAGCTCAGGACAAAAAGGAGAGTTTGTGACCTTTGGAAGAAGGGGCAGGCAATGCAGGAAGGCTACAGGGATGTCATGAGGTTATGCAGGGAGAAAATTAGAAGGCCCAAAGCCGAACTGGAACTTAATTTGACTACTGCCATAAAAGACAATAAAAAATGTTTCTATAAATACATTAGCAACAAAAGGAGGGCTGAGGAGAATCTCCATCCTTTCTTGGATGTGGGAGGAAACAGTGACAAAGGACAAGGAAAAGGCTGAGGTAGTTAATGCTGCCTTTGCCTTGGTCTTTAATGGTCAGACCAGTTGTTCTTTGGGTACCCAGTGCCCTGAGCTGGAAGGCAGGGATGGGGAGCGGAATGAAGCCCCCATCATCCAAGGGGAAATGGTTAGCAACCTGTTACACCACTTAGATGCACACAGGTCCATGGGGCTGGATGGGATCCACCCAAGGGTACTGAGGGAGCTGGTGAAGTGCTCACCAAGCCGTGCTCCATCATTGATCAGCAGTGCTGGGAGGTCCCCGTTGAATGGAGGTTGGCAAATGTGACGTCCATCTACAAGAAGGGCCGGCAGGAGGATCTGGAGAGCTCCAGCCCTGTCAGCCTGACCTTGGTGCTGGGGAAGGTTGTGGAGCTGATCGTTTTGGGTGCCATCATGTGGCACGTACAGGGCAAACAGGGGATCAGGCCAAGCCAGCGTTGGTGCATGAAGGGCAGGTCCTGCCTGACCAACCTGATCTTCTATGAGGTGACCCTTGGTGGATGAGGGACAGGCCATGGGTGTTGTCTACATGGACTTCAGCAAAGCCTTTGACACCATCTCCCACAGCATTCTGCTGGAAAAGCTGGCGGCTCATGGCTTGGACGGGCATCCTCTTCGCTGGGTAAAAAACTGGCTGGGTGGCCGAGCCCAGAGCGTGGCAGTGAATGGAGTTAAACCCAGTTGGGGGCCAGGCACAAGCGGTGTCCCCCAGGGCTCAGTGTTGGGGCCAGCTCTGGTTAACATCTTTATCCATGATCTGGAGGGGATCGAGGGCACCCTCAGTCAGTTTGCAGATGACACCGAGCTGGGCGGGAGTGTGGATCTGCTGGGGGAAGGAGGGCTCTGCAGGGGGACCTGGCCAGACTGGAGCCACGGGGTCGAGTTCCCATCCTTGAAGGGGTTCAAAAAGAAGGGTAGATGTGATGCTTGGGGACATGGTCATAGACTTGATGATCTTAAAGGTCTTTTCCAACCTGAACAACTCTGTAATTCTATGAATTCCTTGAAGCTGACACTCCCCCATCCCTGGGGAGCTTTCTTGTCCTACCAAACAAGGGACGGGGTGGCCACGGCTGCTGGTGGCTGCCCAGAGGCTGACGGGGAGCAGGGCAGGCAGGAGGGGCTGGGGGACCCGTTTTGTCCTTGCAATGCTGGAAGAGCAGCCCAGGCTCCTTTGAGAACTGAGCGTTTCCCAGGGCTTGGTGCCAAGTTCCAAGGTCTTGGGGTGCCACCCTGACCCGAAAGCCTTCCCCGAGGTGTGCGTCTCTGTGTTTCTTCTGCCTCCAGCTCCTGGGGTGCCGCACTGGGTGTTGCAGGGCAGCCGGGGGCGTTGGCAGGGCTGGCGGGGTGGATGTTGTACCTGGCTGATTTGTTTTTCCTGGCTGTGTTGGGGTGTCCTGCCCCCGCCTGCCCACAGGGGACAGTGCCCAGGTGCCTCCTTATGCCCCGTGGCCACCCTGGGGTGCACAGCTCGGGTGCTCTGGGCAGAGGGCTCAGCCCCAGGGGTGCATCCAGGCGATGGTGGTTTTCGTTGGGCTGTATCCTGACGTGCCCCTTCCTCCCGCAGGCCTCGGCGTGCTGGCCCCGTGCTATGCGATGCTCCCTGAAGCGCTCCCTCACGGCTCTGCTTGCAGCCTCCTTCCTTCTCCTCCTCCTCATCCTCCATGGGGGCAGCCGGCAGGAACAGGATCCCCTGCAGGTGAGTCCCCACCAGTGATGTCCTGCTGGAGGGGCCACTGGAGCATCCTCCACCCCTGCCTGCCCCACAAGAACCCCAGCCCCAGCTCTGCTCCCTTCCCTGCCCCTTACCATCCCCAAAGCCCAGCTCTGCCTTCTCCTCCCCCTGGGGTTGCCCTGTGCACCTGGGCCTCCCCAGTCCAGGAGCTGGGAGGGCAGGACAGGGGCTCCCACTCATTTCTGGGTCCCCCTTGCTCACGCGTGTCCGTGGTACTCTGGGGTCTGACCTGGCTCCCTGCGGCTCCCATCCAGGTGGAACTTAGGGGCTTGGCCCCAGACGCAGTCCTGCAGGTGCTGCAGCCGGAAGGAGCCCAGCGCATCCTCAGGGACACAGATGAGCTCTCGGCACTCCACAACGTCTCCTACCACCTCCTCGCTGGCTCCCTGTCACCCCACAAAAGTGAGTGGCTCCGGGACCCCCGACTGAGCAGGGCTCTGGGTTTGCGCATCTCTCCCATCGCAGCTCATGTCCCAGCGTGGGCCTGCCCCATCGCTGCTGCTGCCAGGGTCTGCTGCCAACCTTTTTGGGATGGGGGACCTGCTGACCCCTGGTGGCCTCCCCCCGCAGCCAGACTTTGCTGGGGGAGACGGAGGGGTAGAGGAACGCCTGTGTGCTCTGAGCGTGGTCTGTGCACCTTGGGACTGGGGTAACCGCAGACATTTTGGGTTTCCAGATCTCTGTTGGGAGGGTGGCTGAGATCCCAACTCCCTGGGGCTGAGTTTCCTCCTCTCCAGTCAGGAAGGTGGAGGTGGTGGGGCTGGACCACCGGGACAACCGCATGGTGTGGGAGGCGTGGATCAAGCTCTTGGACAGGTACACAAAAAGCAACTCGCACAAACACCGTGGGAAGGAGCTTAGGGCAGCCCCACGTGAGCCCATGCTGAAACCAGAGCTCCAGGACGTGCACGGTGCCCCAGAGAGCAGTGGCAGGGAGAAGCTGCAGCGAAGCTGAACAAATGCAGCCAGAGCTGGGCTGCGGGGAGGGCAGAAGGATGCCTCATCCCAGCGTGGCTGCATCTCCACAAGGTTTGGGGTAGGGGGGGGGCACTAGCATGTGTAGCCATGCCACAAAGCCATCCCTGCCCCACACTGTCTCTGCACTGTTCCTTCCCCAGGTTTGGCTTTTTTTTTTTTTTTTTTTAAAAGGTGTTTTTCCCAAATATTTCTTCTTCAGAGGAGCCCCTGACTTCTCATCCTGTCCTCTCCCTGCCATTTGGGCCAATTTTGGGCACCTCCTGAGATGCTGGGGGCTTCAGCTTCAGAAAGGACCTGCACATGGGGCCATAACCAGCATTAACTGTGTGGGTTGGCCACATGGAGAGCTTTTTGGAGCCCCCCGCTTGTGGCTTGCAGAGAAAAGCCTCACCGTGGCGCATCCCAGCTCACCCCTCAGCCTCCTAACGCCTCGCCTTTGCCTTGCAGAATTCTTGGCGGTGGGATTGGCGTCGGTGCAGCGGCCGCGTGGCTACTACCTGCCAGCCACGCTCGAGTCCCTCTTCAAGCAGTCGACGGAGGAGGAGCTGCAGGAGATGGTGGTGGTGGTGCACCTGGCCGATGCAAACCCCGCATGGAACACGCACGTGGCTGCCAACATCGCCCGCAAGTTTGCTCACCACATCCTCCTGGGCCGGCTCCTGCTTATCCACGCTCCCCATGAGTTTTATCCCACCCTGGAGGGCCTCAAAAGAAACTACAACGACCCGGAGGAGCGGGTGAGGTTCAGGTCCAAGCAGAACGTGGACTATGCCTTCCTCCTCGCCTTCGCCGCCAACCTCTCCTCCTACTACTTGATGATTGAGGACGATGTGTGGTGTGCCAAGTCCTTCTTGACAGCCATCCGCAAGGCACTGGCTTCCCGGGAAGGTTCCAACTGGGCCACCCTTGAGTTCTCCAAGCTGGGCTACATCGGTAAGCTCTACCGCTCCAGTGACCTTCCTCGCCTGGCTCGCTTCCTCCTCCTCTTCTACCAGGAGATGCCCTGCGACTGGCTGCTGGTCCACTTCCGCCTCCTGCTCACCCAGAAGGATGTCATCCGCTTCAAGCCCTCCCTCTTCCAGCACATGGGCCTCTACTCCTCCTTCCAGGGCACCATCAACCGGCTGGAGGACGATGAGTTCCAGGCCGATGCCCTGGACCTTCCCGACAACCCGCCAGCAGCCTTGTTCACCAGCATGTCCGTCTTCGAGAACTACGAGCCCCTCAAGGCTTACAGCACAGCAGAGGGGTATTTCTGGGGGAAGGACCCAGCAGCCGGCAGCATCTTCTCCATCGTCTTCCAGCAGCCGGCCCAGGTCACCCGTGTCCGGGTGCGCACAGGCTCCAAGGAGCGCCAGGGTGATTTCCTGCACGCGGGGGTGCTGGAGCTGGGCCGGCAGCAGCAGGTTGACGGCCGGGACTGCACTGCCTACACCACCGTGGGCACCTTTCAGAAGGGGAACTTTGAGCAGCAGGGGCTGGAGAGGGGCATGCCCGGCCCCGTGGAGTGCGTGAGGATCCGGGTAACCCAGGACCAGAGCGAGTGGCTCATCATCCAGAGCATCGACATCTGGACCACGGCAGGCACCTGACCGGGGATGTGGCAGGTTGCCAAAGCAGCTGGATTTGGTACTAAGAGGTCCTTTATTTTTCTCACTCCCTTTTTTGATAAGGAGTTAAATAGCTGACTCCCGCTGGCACTGCCGCCTGGCTCCCGAGGGACGGCAGGCGCTGCTGTGGGACGTGGACGGGGCCGGGAGCGGGGCCCACCGGGCTGTGCCTGCCTGGGGGATGCCCCAGCGAGGAATGCAGGGCGTGTGGGGAGGAGCAGAGGCTTGGGAGTTTCAGGCTGGGCAACAGAAAACATTTCCTCCCAGGGAGGACGGTGCACAGGACAGAGCTCATCAGCTGATTAATAAACCCAACAATGAGCCAGGCAGTGGCATTTTTTGCCACACCATCCCTTCCCCAACTGAGTTTTCTAACCCACTGACTCCCAATTTTCTTGCCTGCCGGTTTTTTTCCCCTCCTTATCCCATTTTCAGGCTGTTCCTGGGAGGGGCCAGGGGAAGATATGGGGGTGCTGCTCACCAAACCTCTCTCCCTCCAGGATTGGGGACCCAGGGGTCCGGTCGCTGGGAGCAGGACCCCCACCACAGGAGATCTCGGTGCTGATCAGAGGGGCACCGGCCACCAGATGGACCCATCGCACCGGCTCAGTCCCTCTCGACAGCCACGGCAGCTCTCCCCCAGCCGCTGCTTGGGTGCAAACAGATTTTTCCCCCTGCAGTTCCCAGGGACTGCAGCCTCTGTCCATGAGGGAATCGCACCGAGAGGGAAGGACAGGGAAGATGGGGTTTCCGAAAGGGGGAGGAAGGTCCAGTGATTGAGGACCATGGAACAAGGGTGGGTAAAGGAAAACGTGACCTCGATAGAACGCCAAACTCTGGGCACTTTTTAGCCCGCTGAGGTGCTGAAGGGTGCCTGGGGTACACGCAGCCTGCAGGCATGAAGCCCCCCAAAAAGCTTCTGTTCGGATTTGTCTGGCAGGATGGGCTGGATCCCGCTGGGCTCCATCGAAAGCTGTTGGCACTCGCATGCAAGGCGGTGACCGGTGCCTCTCCCAATTAGGCTTTTTTAGCAACAATTGCTCAGCTTTCAACAAACAAGGAGGAATTCTGATCCGCTTGGCCTTCCCGCGAGACGGCTCGGAGCCGCCTGTCGCTAACTTGTGCCAAGCAGGACTGCTCCGGCTTGCTGGTGTTCTACGGCCAGCTCTCCCGGAGCAGAGGCGCCCTCCGAGCACAGACAGGCACAAACCAGGGCTGGGGGACCCACCTGCCCTGCCGAAACACCCGAGTGCCGCCACCACAGCCGAGTCTCCAGGTCCTGCATCAGCTTGGCTGCCGGGCCCTGGAAGGCAGGCTGGAGAGCCACCGCTCAGTGCTGGGAGCCCCAGACCTGGCGTGATGGGACTTTTCCCTGGAAAAAAAAAAAAGCCAGCCATGTAATAGATCTTTGTCTGCATTTAATACAGAGATGCTACATGATAAATTACAGCACCTTCCTGACATTCCCAATGTTCTCAGCGGGATCAATATACACATCGCAGAGTGACTTCCGTTTCCTCCACGCAGCCCAAGCACAGTCAGAGCTCTCAGAGTGTTCTGAGTAGCACAAGTGTCCCCTTTCCAGGGCCCCAAGACCCAGGCAAGTGTTTACAGTGCTCCAGGAGAGGCTTTGCCCCAGTTCTCTTGGACACAAGTGCCCCTGACCACACTGTGGGAGCACGAAGGGTTACTAACGCAGGTACAAACAGAAAGCTTTCTCCCCAGTATGTTTTTATCCACTGTAAAGCAGGAAAAGATATAAATATAAATGAACCTTTTACCTGTTGGTCTCTTACTTGTGAATGTACTGATCGGTTCTGTGATATTCACCTACACAGAAACAAGCCGCAGTCTCAGTTATGCTGGTGTAAATCTGGACAGACTCCACGGAACGGCGTGGAAACCCGCTCAGTTTACGCCAGGCTAAGAGCAAGCAGCAGCTGACCCCTGGCAGGGAACCCCCTCCTCCTCCTCCTTCCCATGCAACGCACCACAACGCCCAATTAACATCGGTGCAAACTGGAGGGGGAGGGAGCTTCTTCATCCTGGAGGAGCGCCACATCATTTAGCCCACATAAAAATTATCCCGCTGTTTTTATCCCAGGAAGACTCAGCCAGCTTCCAGCACTCCGTACCGAGACCCTGTCTCTGATGCGGGGGTGGGCTGATGGAGACTTCCAGGGTCCAGCCAAGCGCCGCGTGCTGGAGCCGCAGCCCTGGCTCGAGTCAGTCCCTGAACCGGGGCAGCGGCGCTGCCTCCGACCGACCATTTACATGCAGCCACGGCGCTAACGATCAGCACGGATCTCAGCCGGGCAAGGGTTAAGGAGCCTCTGGGTTGAGAGGTAAAGGGCAAGGGGACAAAACCAGAGGCAGGAATTTTGGTCTGCTTCTCTCTATGAAGACGGTAAATCAGAGAGGGTTAGAGCTTTCAGTCAAACACCACGGCTGTCCTGAAGGATGACTTGCTGTCCGTCCCGACCAGCGGAGCTACCCTGTCTGTTGGGAAGCGGTGCTGCAGAGCTCAGCAAAGATCTAGCTCAGCATCTTGTGGCGGTCGAAAACTGTCTTCCTCTGCTCCTGCACCTGGCGCTTCCAGCGCTGCTGGGCCCCCTCCACCCTCTCCAGCACCGTGTTGGCTCTAGCGCCAGACGGGGTGGGGGCTGCAGCCAAGGAGCGAGCATCCTGCAACGGAAAGAAAGGGTGAAGATCAGGGCATGCCCAGCCCAAACAGAGAAGGTGGCAGCTCAACCCTGGGAGAAATTTCAACTGAAAGAGCAATTCAAGGCTTGAGTTGTCCTGAGGAAGAACCTCATTTTCAGAGCTCCTCAACACCAGCCCCCCAACTCCAGCTGGAAAGTTTGCTCTTGGGGACCACACCTGGTAAAGTCACAGGCCCCAAATAAAAAGTCCCCAGGAGAGGAACTGCACTAAGTCTAAACCTCTGCTGGAAATCCACTGCTAGGAGTCTGCAAGGAGCTGCACTGCTAAAGCAGTAACCCTAACCCTAAAGCAAAATGGGGCCAACAATTCTCATTGTGCTCAGCGCACTAGCTTACACAGTAGCTGCTCATCTGTATCTCAGATGGCGCTGCAGGACTTTTGTCCAGCCCTGCTGTTCAGGCTGCTCCAAACCCCCGCATTTACACTGCAGAAACATCGGAAGGCCCCTCGGATGGGGATCTGTCGTGGCATACGAACACCAAGGCAATCACGAGGCCCATCCCAAAGAGTTTACAGTCCAGCACCCTGGAGTAAGATAAACCTCGCCTAATATGAGGCATTTACAGTGCACACCTAGATCTAAATCTGAATTGCTGCTGTGGAGCATACTTTTAGGATAGAACTCATCTCCTCCTGCAGGACTTCCTTTTTTCAGCAGAGGGAGGTCATGGATAGACCTGCACCCTGCAGCAGCCACTCCTCACTCACATCAGCATATGAAAGAATTGGGCCAAAGTTTATACTTACAACAAAGTATAAAGAGGACAGGCTGATCCAGTGGTTTTCTCAGACACTAGGAAAGGAGGGTATCTTCAAACACTGCAGCTTCCCTTCTCAAAGTGTGACTGAGCTAATCACTACCATCCAGAGTCCCCGCCTGAATGGGAAGGCCGCTCCTGAGTCCCCTCCAGCAGCCCGGGGCCTGGAGCAGCAGCCGGGGCAACGCTCGAGCACAGCCCTGGGGCTCCACCAAGGGAAGGAACTCAGCTCCAGGAGAGAGCTCTGCCTAGCACTGCGCCCCGCTGAACTGCACCATGTCTGAACTGAGAAAGCCACAGGGAAAGCTGCATCGCAGAGCCACACGCTGCTCTAACAGGCAGCAAGTCTTGCCCTTGCATCCCGCCGAGCATGAGCTACAGATGCAATCAAGCATGAGAGCTAATAACTGTGCGTGCAGCCGCTCCACTCCTCCACACTAGCCATGGGCTAGCTCCAACACTTCCTCTCCGAGAGACCATCCCCATCTCAGTCTCCTGTATTTCCCTATGAGAGAAGGGAAGCCTCAGGGGAAGAAGAAGAAAAGACTGACACGTCCAGGCACTCTTGTTCTGAAATCCCCCTTGGTCTGATCATCCTCCCTAAAGCACTGCCTCCCTCCTGAGGGGACGGATGTTGTACGCTGGGTGCTGAAATTGCATTCATTTCATGCAGCAAGAAATCTGTCCTGCCTCAAAATCTCAGGGGCAGGGTGTGTGTGTGTGTGTGTGCTGCTGAGCCCTAATCTTCTTGCCCCAGATGTCGTATGCCAATGTCCCCCAGACAGATGGGATCTGAGTGAAATTCTGCTCTGGGGAGAAGCACAGGGAACAAGAGCCTGGATAAAACAGGGCCCAGACCCAGAGCAGGGTCAAACAACAGCACCCAGAGGCTACTCTTTTAAGCATCTAGAAGTGAGGCCAGCCCTGTGTTTCAGCAAATAATTAAACCCATCCTCCCCTGGAAGCTCACCACCAAATAACTACACCTAGGACACCGCACAAACAGCAACCATTTGACTTTTGGTTTCATCTAGATGGACATACCAAATTCAGGCCAATTGGTAAAAAGCCACCCCCACCCCAGAGGACAGATCTCGTCTTGGGCTCGTAATACAGACCTTGTACTTTGAATATTTCCTTGTGCTTCAGCATGACCTGCACGGATTTGAGTCTAAATATTTACCTGTGGTAAATGCCCCAAAAGCAACAGCACTGGTCCCACAGTGGATCAGAGGGACAAGCATGAGGTCACTCTGTCTCCCTGTCAGCCATTCTCGTCACCCTACCACCCTGTCTCTACCGTGACCGCAGCCACCCACGTGTACCCTGGACACACAGGCAGCACAGCCTCACCTCATTCTCCTCCTCGTTGTGCAGGGGCTGGGTGTAAGCATCTGGCTTCCGGATCAGAGGGTCCACCAGCACAAGGAAAGCCATGTAAAGCAGCAGTGCCCCCACCACGGACAAGTAAATGATGATGATCACCTGCAGTTAAGGACAGCAGAGCAGAAAAGGGTCAGCAGTGTACATAAGAAGCACCACAGAGGCCAGGAAGCTCCATTTACAGCTGCCTCTGATGTTTGATTTCTTCTCTTATTCTAATTTTGCTCACTAGAAAGTCTCTTGCACTTGCAGGAAGGCCGATGAGACATAAGTGCCATCGCTGCATAAACCACGCTGATCTTCTCTGCACTGTGCCAATTTAAAACACGTGCTGCATGTGAAAGGAGACAAACAAGATGGGGCCCTGGTCAGAGGTGCTTGGCAGCATCACACATCCTCGGGAAGAAGACTGGGCTCCCGCGCAGCCTGCTCCTCACTGCCAGGAGCCCTCCTGACTCGGACTCAGTGCCCCTGGCACTACCACCATGTACCAGCTGTGATAGTTTTATTTTCCCTTTCTGGGCTCTCCTCCAGGAATGCACCAGCCTAGCTGTGCCTGCGATGGCGTGGCATGGCAAGGAGAAGGAGCCAGCCGCAGGGAGCAGACCCACAATTACCTTGATGGTGGTGGTGCTGCGCTCCTCGTACTTGCATTCGCACAGCAGGCAGTAGGCCTCCACATCATTCCCTGGCACCGGCATTGGCTCCACAACGTGCAGGCAGTTGCTGCAACACAAAGAAACCAAAATCAGCAGCAGGAGAAGATGAAACCAATGCTCTGTGGGAGGATGCTAAGGTGAGTTTTTCTGTGTCCCAGCTTTCCCGTCAGGCACTGATCTGATTTTAAGAGTTCTCCTCATAGCTCAGCTAGCCCAGAGTTCCTGGGAAAGACTGGCCAAGCGCCTTCTGCAGGGATCCGGTCCAGGTGAAGGGGACTGGAAGTAAACCCTACATCTGCTGAGGGTCGTGGCTTAAGAAATCGTGCCTCCCAGATTCCTCAAGCTCTGTTCAAAAAGTGCCCTCGCCTGGGTTGAGCATCAGCTACTGAAAGAGCTTCCTCTGCAAAAGCACAGGCAGGGAATTACTTCCCGAGCACCAGCTGGAAACAACGGAGCGCTGGCTTTCATGGATCAACCCCTCAGGCTTCAACCCACAACTCACCAGTCCTTCTGCGAAACATTCTTGTTGTAAATGTGCCCACTGATGTTCCGGTACGGGGGGCAGATGCACTTGCAGCGGATGTCCTCCGAGCTCTGCAGAAGCAAGAGATGGCATCAGTGAGTGAACACACACGTACAGTTCTGCTGCCCTCACCACCCAGGGGTGTGGGAAAAGGCAAAACATTCCTTAAGAGAGACAGGACTTCACACCATGCCTCTTCTTCCTGTGCTGCTTCTTTCACGTCAATGACTTCACAGTTTTAAAACTCCTTGAGCACCTCTGCTCCTGACACCAGGTGCTTTTCAAATGAATTTTAAAATGCAAACTCCAAAACACAGCAGAAGGCAGGGCAGAGGCCACTGTCAAGTACGTTCACAGCTCTACACATGATAAATACACATCTGCTTTAGCACTCCTTATCTTTGCAAACTTCCACAGAAAAACAGTTGCTTCTCTGCCATTTTTGTTTCTATTGTACTACACACACACGTCCTGGTTTCGGCTGGGATAGAGTTAATTTTCTTCCTAGCAGCTGGCACAGCGCTGCGATTGGGGTTTAGGATGAGAACAATGTTGATAACACACTGATAGTTCAGTTGGTGCTGAGCAGGGCTTACACCAGGCAGGGCCTTTTCAGCTTCCCCTGCTCTGCCAGGGGCACAAGGAGCTGGGAGGGGGCACAGCCAGGACAGCCGACCCCAACTGGCCGCAAGAGGGACAGTTCAAGCGACAAGAGCCTGAATTGAGACTTTGCAAGGTACAAATGAAAACCAGGGACTGCAGCAAATTGTTCTCAAGAAAGTAGATTAAGAAAAGCCGTAGCCCTTACCCAACCTCTGTGGTCAGAAACCAATAAATGGCATGATGATACTAGGGGAATTGCGAATGCTGTGTTATTGTTGGGGAATGTATAACTATTAACTTCCTAAAAGGGCTTTGCTTGGTCTCAGCGCTTATCCTGCCTAGCTAAAGAGATTATTTTACCACTCAAAACAGTCCCCATTTGTAAGGTTAACTCCTGATTTTTTAAGAGGGTCAGGTACTTGACTATGGAAGGTAGTTAAACCATGACAACACGGTTCAGGGCTTGTGTCTGAAGCTGTTCACTCACCTTGCTGGCTTGTGCTGGAGGAGAAAGGATGCAGCACAGCAGCGTGATCAGCAGCACGGAGCTCGCACACTTCTGGGTGCACTGGGCAAACATTGTGGAAGCCTGCAGAAACAAAAATTCACATCCAGGATAGAGGATCTCAGCTGAATGCAGCCAGAACGAGTTTGAGCCTTCTTTTTTGGCCCACTTGCCTTCAATTTGCCCAGGAAGTAGAAATTTAGCCCTGAATCCAGGCTGATGCCAGTCAGAAACTCCTGGAAACACTTTACACAGATCCCAGGAAACACTCCTACCAAAAAAGCTTCCACCATCTAGAGCCACACATCCAAAACACCACAGTCCTGCAAAAAATATTGCCAACTTCCTTACAATTTAACTTCTGCAACTCCTGTTACTCTCTCACTATCGTGGAGCTCTGCAATGGGTATTTTGCTGCTGACACTTTTGCCCGGTAAAAGATACAGAACCAGGGAGGCCACAGATCAAGAGCGACCTAAAGAAGTACACTGGGGCCTCACTGCTGTACTATATAATAAATGTTAAATAATTTATCTTCTGATACTCAGTTTTGCTTCTGAAGAGGTCAGCATATTTTTCTCACATGAACCACGAATTATGGCAAGGGGGTGGAACATTTACCGATTCCTTTACCCCTTTACTTCAAGATACCTATTCAGTAAAATCCTAATTTAAAAAAAATATTTCAAGTTGCTGGCTCGGTGAATTCATTATATGCCCTTTGCTACTCATGCACAGATAAAAAGTTGGTCTTAGAGATGTGTGTTTGCACAAATCCAAAAGAGTAGGAGTTCATTTCCTCTGCCACAAAAAGCAGAGCTAGTCTTTACGAGCTGGCATTCACATTCGCAAGAGCAGCACGCCTGGACAAAAGGCACAGCAGGCCACAGGGTGCCACCTTGGGGAAAGCTCCAAAAAACCACTTCAGCACGGCTTTACTTAGGGAAGGTAATTTATACCTTCATTAATCAGCTCCATACGGCACACGTAATCCCACAGCTAACTCCAGGTACTTAATTACTAACATAATTCTGTTAGTATTTACAACACTGGAATAGCCTATCACTGTTTGCTTTATCTTATGTCAACACTCTAAAAATTAATGCAGCTAATTCTTCACCGATTTTATGGATTACAAACACCACGCTCCTCTCTTCTTTATCTAAACAGCAGCCACTTCTAATAAGCTGACCTGCCAAAACCCATCAAAATGCATTCCAGTCCTATCAGCTTACCATGGGATTTCTTAACCCTTTGAACCCCTGTTAGCGGAAACCTCCTCAAGCAATGGTTCTTTCTTTGGAGACACCTTTGCACACCAGGGCTTTGGCTCTTCATCAGAAACACTGGTTAACGTTTCACTTCTCTGAGCTGCACGGTGTGCATTCCCCATTGTAAGTGTTTTTCATAGAATTACAGAATCGTTTGGGTTGGCAAAGCCCTTTAAGTTCCCCCAGCCCAACCGCTCCCCTACCCCTGCCATCCCACCCCCAAACCCTGGCCCTCAGCACCGCCTCTGCCCGGCTGTTAAATCCCCCCAGGGCTGGGGACTCGACCCCTTCCCTGGGCAGCCCCTTCCAGCCCCTGACAGCCCCAAGGGGAAGGAATTGTTCCCCATGGCCAACCTCACCCTGCCCTGGCACAACTTCAGACCATTTCCCCTCATCCTATTGTCTGTTATCAGGGTGAAGAGGCCGACCCCCACCTCACCACAGCCTGCTTTCAGGCAGCTGTAGAGGGCGATAAGGTCTCCCCTCAGCCTCCTCTTCTTGTTTGGATTTTTAACTCTACGATGGAGTGCAAACCTGCTCAAGTCATTTCAGATCATCCGAACAACTCATAACTGTCATTTTTAATAAAAGCAGGGGAAAACACATGACCTATTATACAATGTTTATCAGCCACAAAATAAAAACTCAGAACAATACCTAGACAGGGTCTTCCCATCATGAACTGTAAGACACCAGCGGCCACGCCAAGGGCAACGTACGTGCAGCTCTTTCCAAGTCTGACAGCCAGTGTTGGAAGGGGCACTTGCACACAGGCCTTAAAGCTATTGTCTTCCAAACAATCAGCCACCCTTGCAGCAGCCATCGGCCTAAAAGCACCTGGACCGAAACCCAACAGTGAAGGACAGTGGAGGGGCTCACGAGTGGTTCAGGTCTCGGAGGCCGTGGCTGAGGGGCAGCTCCCAGGCATGGACCCCCCCGGAGGCCGCAGCACAACCACAGGCACCCGCCCTGTGCCCCTTCTCCCTGCCAGCAACCCCAATAAACCCTTCATCATCACCTGCAGCCCTGCTAAGGCCAAACCTACGACGGCTCCGACCCGCTGCCCACGACC